TGAGACTCATGATAGAAGAAACCCATTGTCAGGGGCATAGGGTGGTTCTGGGGAGGTGCGAAAATTGCAAATGCGGAACTACTGTAAAAATGTCGAATCCAGAATTTCAAAATAGAGGGGACCTGGGGAGGTATTTTCACAGATGAAGTGTCTATACCACCTCAGCCCCACCATGGTTGGGGCTGAGGTAAGAAAATTTTTAATTACGGCACCTCTCACAAAAAATTTTGAACAATTTAGGGGGTCCCAGGTCGACTGGGCCCCCTTGAATCCGCAATGACTATGAAAGATCAGTGGCGTAACGAAGGACCGAAGGCCCCGAGCCTGACACTGGAGGCCAGAGGCTGCCAAGGGCCCCTGGTGGAGGCAAAGCCCCCAGCCCCTCCTGTGTTTGTAGCATTTTGTAATGTATTTTAATGTCTTTTTTTGGTGCAATTGAATTCTTAATTTTGTTTTGTGACTTAATAAAATAGGCGTAATGTACTGTAATTAAGATAATACTTTGTTTGCCTGTTACTTAATTTCTTGTTACACATTGTTTCAGTTTAATTAAATTATATAAAACAAATTATTAGATAAAGTTTAAAACATTCAATCAATCAAAAGAACAGAAAAATGTTTGTACTCATTTTCTAATTACTACTATTGCATGTGTTATTGGTATTATTGAAAGATTACACAGAATTATAAAAGTAATTAATATAATAATATCGGCTTCATTTGATGTTGCTTCGACTATAAATTTCCCCAGTACTGTATGCTATATTCTGTACAGTACGGAAGAATGCTGTTCAAGGATTTTTTGTTTGCTCTGAGAGAATTTGAGGCAAACATCAATGAAATTTGATAATTCCAACGATTTACCCCTTTTTCAATATTTTTCCCAAGCTTTTTATCTCATTAACCAAGATTTTCGTCCAAGTTTAAGAATAATAATAAAAGCGTGATGACGTTTCTAGTGTTTATTGCACATTCTTTTCCCGTTTTCATAAAAGAGTCTGTTTTAATGTCACGATCCACCGCCTCAAAAGGTTTTATGCAGTCCGCCCAATAGTGCAAACCATGACTTTTTGCTAATTCATTAAAAAAAAATTTTGTGACTTGATAAAAAAATCTTTATTCAATCAAGCAGTACTGGGAAAATCCATTGTTTTTATTCTGATTTTTTTTTACTTTTTTCTTGCATATATTTTTCCCATCTTTTTGCACTGTTTTTTTCTGGCCGTCACTTTGGTCACTTCCCATGCTTAGAATTTTTCCGTGCTTTGCCGAAACATAGGCCATATATCACGGATGTGCCTCCTAATATTTAGTGTCAATTTATGGTGGGGTGTGAGGACCAATTAAAGTGACTTAAGGTCAAACAGTCTACACCAGATATTTCAAAAACCGGTCAGTTGATCTGAATTAAACTAATACAAGGAAGAAATTTTTATGTGTTAGTGACAATCCAGTGTAAATTTGAGGGTCTTTTCAATTTTTGAGGACCCAGACCTAAATATCTCTTTAAAAAATACCAATGGGTCTAAATGAAACATTCTATAATACTTTGTAGATGACTTGTAAAAAAATGATCAAATTTTTGTAACGCTTCAAATTATGGTGTGGATCTGAAGACCATTTAAAGGAAAACGTCCCAGACCACATATTTCGAAAACAGATCAACTGATCTGAATGAAACATTCGGAAAAAGTTTAACCAAGTTACAAGGAAGAAATTATTATGTGCTGGCGATGAATCAGTTGAGGGTGTAAATGGGAGGATGGTCATAATTTCAATTTTTGAGGACCCAGATCTAAATATCTCTTTAAAAAAATCAATGGGTATAATTTAAACCTTGTATAACAGTTTGTCAAGGTCGAGTGTAGAAATTATTAAATTTTTGTGACGATCCGGAGTAGGATGTAGATCTGAGGACCATTAAAAGGAAAACGTCCCAGACCACATATTTTGAAAACAGATCACCTGATCTGAATGAAACATTCAGAAAAAGTTTAACCAAGTTACAAGGAAGATAGTATTATGTTTAGGCGACGAATCAGTCAAGGGTGTACATTGGAGGGTCATTTAAATTTTTGAGATCCCAGATGTAAATATCTATAAAACATTTTCAATGGGTGTAAATGTAACATTCTATAACAGTTTGTAAAGATCCAGTAAAGAAATGACTGAATTTTTGTGATGATCCAGCGTAGGGTGTGAATATGATGACCATTTAAAGGAAAACGTCTCAGACCAGATATTCCAAAAAAGGGTCAACTGATCCAAATAAAAGTTTAAGATATTATTATGTGTAGGGGACGATCTAGGTTAGGGTGTAAATTCGAGGGTCATTTAATTTGCTTACGTCCCAGTTAAAGATGGATAAAAATGAAACTTTGCAGAATAGTTTTTCATGGTGAAATAAAGAAATGATCCAATTTTGGTGACGAACTACAGTAGGGTGTGGATATGAGGACCATTTAAAGATTTTTTGTTGACAGTAGATTAAATTATTTAAACGTGAATTTGTGTTTTCTAAAGCGCTTAAACCAGTTACAAATAGGTTAAACTCAAAACTACCATGATATGCATGAACAATTTTTGCTTTCAGTCATGGAGTCGCTATGAACTGTAAATGCACTTACCTATGCAAGGTCGGCCCATATAGCGCGCAATGGTAATGGTCATGATATATCTCGCTATTACCATTGCAGCCATACTTTCAAGCCTCACTAATAACGTCGCAGTGAACTTGACGAAACTGCAACAAATCTGGGCAACATAAGGCCAAAAAAAAAATTGTTTGTTTGCCCTCCACCACCCACCCCTAACTCACTGAGAAAAATAGGGGCCGAAAAACTTTAAAAAGTGTTTTTTTTAGCTTTTTTCTTAACAAATTAAAAGAAAAGTGAGTGAGTTTATCTTTATTTTTTGCCAGATGCCCTACAAATAAGTCTGAAGTAGTTGTCTGATGTAAGATATTGCCATTCTAGTCCTCTTTGGGTTATTTTTATTCCATCTGATGAGTATTTAAAAAAAAAAATAAATACAAAAAAAACTTTTTCCACCTGCCCCTATTTATCATTTTTAACAAACGAAGGGCCTAAGCATGTTGTAAAGAACTTTGTAGTTAATAATTAAATTTGCTGTGCATGTAATGAAAAACAATTGCATTTTGGGTGAAATCACTTAGTGGAAAGATACGACGGCCGTACAAGTACGAGGGTACATTAGCACCGGCATGTAAACAATAAGGAAGGGAAAGAATACACTGTATTTATTTTGAATTACTGTAGTATTTATTCACATTCGGGATAAAAAAATTAGTTTTTATTTCGTTTAACAAACTAGGCATATCAGGTTTATGTGTGTACTTTTGTTAAACTAATCGAGTTTGACTTGCTGCCTTACAAATTTTCAATTGTAGGCAGGCCTAAACCAGCGGAAATTTTTTGCCTTTTTGGTGGGTGGGGTGCGGATACATCCCCCAACCTACGCCCCTGATTGTTAAATCATAAAGGGAAACACAACTAAACGTTGGTTATTTTTAAATACGCTTATTGGTTTTTATCGTCAATAACATTCATACTTCAGCTAATAATTATGATTAAACCAACTTGTAGTACAATTAAGTGTATAATTTTAATAGATGTGTATAAGAGACAGGCCGGACAGAGCTCGTGGGGCAGTCAGACCATAAAACATAAAAATAAGCCCACACCAAGCCAATACATGTCCGTCACAGTCTGAGAGTGCCATTTCCAGCCATCCAGATGTTGCTATTAAAAAAAGAATCTCATTTGGGAGGGGAATCCCCATCTCTGTTCCTTCCCCCAGCTCGAGCCTATGAGCTCAAGTCCCCCTGTCAGACAACTTAGGCCCCCAGAAAATATATCCTACAGCCACCACTGCTCAGAACACCGAACATGATCCCTGAAAGCATACATTTCCCTCTTCAACATTCATCTTCTCACATGAGCACAAAATCTACTTTACTCACCCCAGTGACTTCCCAACTCGCAGAGTTAAATGTGAAAGTACTTCAAATATCACCCTCGCCTCCCATTGAGTTTTTAAACTTTTGTGAGAATGGAACAAGTTACGGATTCGCCTAATAATTAAGATTTAACTTGAGCATGCAACAGTGTAATGCAGAAATGGAACAAAACAAAAGCAAGATGATAATGATGATAATAAATAGTAATAATAATAATAATAATGTCATCTTGTAAGGTGCACATATCCATCTCAGAGAGGAGCTTGCGGCGCCATTTCCACTTTTCAAAGAATGCCTTTTCTGCATTTCATTTGTTATATTTATAAAGGTTTTTTCATATTATTTTTATTTTTTTATTTTTTTTATTTGTTTAAATACTTAAATGTACATTTATTAGCAACTACAGAGGAGAACAGGAAAATTAAGTGCAAGATCTTAGCAGTGGCGTATCTAGAAGTCTTGAAAAAGTGGGGGGGGGCTGTCTGTGCGAAGGTAAAGTGGGTGGGGGCTCAATGATCAGTTTAGGGGCGCTAATTCGCAAAATAAGGTGATTTTTAACTACTTGACCATGAATTTTGAGGGGGACGGGGGGGCGCGAGTGATTTTGCGTAGATACGCCACTGGATCTTAAAGCATAGGCCTACGCACGCAATCACAAAAGTACGTACTTCGGTCTTATACGTCATTGTTGCTATATAAATACATCATCGCCACTCTGTCGCGTTTCCGAAGATAAGCCAAAAGGATATGGATTAGGTAGGGCAAAGAATTTAGCAAATCATTTCCAAGCCCTTTTATTAACAAACCTTTGCACATTTTGCCACATCGGAGTGGGAACAAGCTTATTATGTGCATCAGTAGGGACAATCTTCATGTGCAAGTTGTAGACGATAGTCGATATAGTTCACTTTTTGGGTTTCATGTTTCTGTGTTTCACTGTATTTAATGTTTACTGAGACGAACAAATGAAATGAAAAACGTGTGTGCAGACTCCCCTGTACAATTAAATCAACTGGTCAATGACGTCACATAAGGGCGTGGCGGCTGCATGATCGAAAGAGCCGCAGATTTCTGTATGACCGCGTCTTGACTGCGTGCATGAGAGTGCATTTATAAAGTAATAACTCAACTGGAAGGAACTCAAAATGGCGGCTACAGCGAAGAAAAGTGATGCTGTGAGTTATTTTTATAATATTGGTTGTTTTGTTTAATGTTATATGTGTATCCAGCTAGGCCTATAAATAATACACAATAAGTAATACACAAAAAGCATTGAACTGTTAAAATATAATTTGGCCAGGTACATAAAAAGCAAAGAGTGAGAGAATGATGAAGAGGCCTCAGGCTAGGCCTAGGCTACCTAGAGTAGGCCCTAGTAGTAGTAGACCTAGGCTTTAGTAGTAACCTGTAACATTGTGACTCGTTTTGTGTAAGTGCCCTTGTCGATAGGCGCTTATGTGCAGGAATAATAGTAATTTTTTAGTTTGATGTATTTAGTAGCATTCACTCATAATAATATAAAACAACAATGAAATAATATTAAAAAATAGATCAAAAAGAAAATTGCCTGTTTGAAAGAATATGTACTACTAGGGCCTAGTACTAGGCCTATGGATGGATGACCCATAAAATCGACAAATTAATCTATTTCCAACAATGGGGTCTGAAGCAGAGCACCAGGGTGAATATGGAGTAGATGGTAACTAAGGGAACACCTGATAATATTTAATCTGCTTAAAAGGATATCATTGTTATGTTAATTACATGGAGTTGGACCCTGAACATCTGTAAATGATTTATTGTTGTGTATACCACTACAATTTCGAAAGACATTGTAGGCCAATAGGTACAACAATCAAAGGTCACAGCACTGAGCATCTATACAGTCAGTACTGTACTCGCGCGCGGGCGGTTAAAATATTTTTGGCTCTATTTGAAGGGCGTTTTAAACAGGGCGCTTATGAAATAGATGAAAATTGAAGGGGTGCTTATGGGAAATTGACAAATTCAAGGGGCACTTTTTTTTAATCGAAGATATATGAATGGTTTTGGTGAAGAAAATGTAATAGTCGAGAGAGCATGGCTCATAAATGTTGGGGGTATTTACACAACAGCAGATGAAATTAGTGGTAGTGTTGATGGTGGTGGTAAGCGTGTTGGCCATCTGCCAATGCAGATTATCAGGATCATTGCAGGGTTTCTTGCTTAAATACAAGAGTGATGAGGTCAGTTTATTTTTGTTGACTGAAAATGACCGTACAGTATTTTAATTTTTAGATATTAAATACTGTAGTTCTAAATCCAAAAAGGGTATCAATAAAACAAGAACGGCATTCCTCCATTCTAAAGATGCATCAAAACTGAAAACCAATGTTAAAACCTAAACTTAATGGAGACTCATGACAGACCGACAGATGGATAGATGGACTGACTGACCAACCGACCGACAATGCTAAGATAGATGCAAATAGTTGAAGCAGAAAATTAAGTTAGTGATGTACTGTACTGTATGATTGAATTTTTTTAGGAATCGAGGGGCGCTTATTCAAATGAGGCGCTTAAGACAATTTTCACATTAGGAGGGGCGCTTATTCGCGCGAGTACGGTATTCAAAATACATTTGTTGGCCTATATTTTACACATTGACATAAATAAAATATGTCATTTGCCTTTCCCACAGTCTTTTTTTATTTTCAAGTCAATTTATTATAATTTATATTTAGGATGTATTGGTCATTCATTGAATCAAATTGACTGAAAATATACAATAAAATTGTTTACATACATCACAGTTGAAACGGTCGTACAAATTTAAAACTTATTTTTTCTTGTTGAAAGTATTTAAATCTTGTCATAATTTGAATTATTGCAAATCATTAATTGAAAGACTTTCATCTATGAGCCTATGCAATTAAAGAGTCATGAATTTTTTTACAACAAAGATTCCTGTGCTGTTCTCATTGTGTCGTTAGTCTCTTACTGTAGATTAATTAAAAATATTTACATTGCAACTTCACTACCTGCATGTTGATAGCCAAATGTTTACAGGTATAACAATTTACAGATGTTCAATTCTGGATAGTTAACTCATTAACCTTTATTTAGTTTTGTCTGTTTATTCACAGTTTTAGTTTTGAGTGATTTGGGTAAAAATTTTGAATTTAGATGAATTCTATCAAAAATTAGCTTCTAATTTAGTACTTTTTATGAAGTATGTAGTCTGGTTTGCATATCATTAGTAAATTAAATCATGGAATACCGGGTCATTCAATGTCAATTAGCAAATGTCGCTAAGGGTCATCTCGAAATTGGCAGAAATTTATTTCAGATAACAATCGTATTTAGTGGATGTTCTGAATTGTGGCCTGTTGACAACCTTTACATGCGCAGGATTCAGATGTTCATTAACAAGAATCTTATGCATTATTGATTTTACAGGCCCTAGTTTGGAAACAAACTCAGAGTTGGGATTATTCATACATGCTCTCTATGTACTGTACATAGATTATTGTTTGTTACAAATAAGGTTAATTTTTAATTAAGTCCGTGACCCATACCACATTTCAGTAAATTGGTTAATTCAACACGGAATGACCCAATATCCTAATATTACTCATATCCTGTTGACTGGTTTCCAAATGCTTATTGAAACAAATGTACGTTCAGGCTTTCATTACAATATCCTTTAAAAAGAAAAACTACAGTATTTCATTCAGTTACAACATATTCATTCCTATAGCCCATGGTCATAATGAAAGTAATGATGTCACCTATAACAAAACATTATTAATAGCAGCATTGTTTAATAGGAACAAAGGCAATATTGTATTTTATTATTAACGGAAAGCTGACTGACCAAGTAGATATTTCCTTTAAGTATCTTATAAGTATCATCATTCCTGATGATGACATAAATAATGTTGAAATATTTAATCCTGACAAGAACTGGTCTTTAAAGTAGTTTTTGGTTGGGTTAGCTAAGTTTAACTTCGATAAAACCAAAGTGCCGTACATTCTACCATTTAATAAAATATTATAACAGTAATTCTTATAAAAAACATCTGTATGTTTGACTGACCTTTCTATCGTTTTTATTTTAATCGCTAAATTGTCTTTCTTTATTTAATTTATTGCGACTCACAAAAACATCAGTCACAGATAAAAAAGGAAGCAAAAGGACAGGTTACACAGACTCGATGTCTAAACTAAGGGAAAACGCCCTGGACAAAAACATCATACATGTACAGTATAACATCAAAAAGACACATAAACTCTCATATACAATAATAAATTTTTTTTAAATAAAATAAAACTTTGGAAAGAAAACATAAAAATGCAAATAAGAGCAACAAAACCAAAACAGGGCACAGTCAAGGGTTTCACAGTGCACACCTTCCAGCAAACACCAGTATTTAATTATTAATTTATTTGTTCAAATTTTAACTTTTATGTTTTATGTATTTATTTATTGTTTCCATGCACCTCACAATCATCTAATCTCATGATGTTAATAACACACTTTTTCATTCATCATGGATAAACATGTTTTCATTCAGACGACTCGTGTTGGTAGTTTTTTTTCTGGTTAGGTTATACTGAACTTAATTAACCGAATATAGTGATTATTATAGCAGAAAAAAGAAAAATAAGATAGGAATAATAATTTTAATAAATAAATACTGTACATCAAACCTGATTTTATTAAAAATATTCATTATCTCTGACACCAAGAGCAAAAATAATTCATAAAATCAATATCAATATTAATATGACAGTTGAATTAAGGTAGTAAAAGTTTGGATAACACATGTGTGAAAAAATCCACTTGAATTGACAAGGTGTTAACATTGTGCAATTTCAGAGGATCCTCATTGCAATATTAATTTACAATCATTGAATAATTCTTATTTTGATATTGCTGTGATTATTATTAATTTAATGATAAATTATGACATCATTGACAGGGGGACATGAAAGTGACGGTGGAGCCTTCTGCCAAGAAGGACAAGAAGGGGAAGAAGGGGAAGAAGGCAGATATGGATGATCTTAAGAAAGAATTGGAGTTGGTAGGTTTGCATTACTTATAACAAATAATCAATTGCTAAATTATTCCATATGTACAATAAACTACATTTATTTCAGATAGCAAAAAGCTTAGGTCTATATTGTAAAGTTACATCATAACATTATTGCTTATTTTTGCTGAAATCTACCTTCATCTCAGCCTACTACTGCATTATGAATAAGCATGCCCATATATGGTAATGAATGCAAGAAAGAATGTGATTGGATATCATAGCATTATCCTATCCTGTTTGAATGATTTATAAGTTTCATTAGCAATGGCTTTGAAATTCAAAGAGTTGTTCTATTCACATTGAAAAAAATGAATGTGCCTACTGCTGATTTCTGGTTGTCTCCTTAGAATGTATTGCTAAAAAAAATATAATTATTAATAATGATGAAGTCTTGTACATACAGTAAGTTAGTTAAAAATGATATCTTAAGTATAAAGAAATATGTTGTTTCCATAGGATGAACATAAAGTACCAATTGAAGAGCTCTTTGAAAGATTGACCACAAATCCTGAGACTGTGAGTACTCAATAACTTGGCTTAAATTTACTTTCGTGGTATCATTTTATGATTCTGATGCTGAGATAATGATGTCATTGAATGCTTGTTTTTTAATATGTTCATGTCAACCAAATGGTTAATTAGTTGGTAACATTAATGATGAATATGGTAGGAGTGATGTTTTGCCCTACCTGACATGTTACCGTACCGAATACTCGGTACGTCCCCAAATACTAGCGAAAAAAATTCTCAAGTGATTCAGGTGGGAATCAAACCCACCACCTCCAGGTATCTAGCCTGATGTCTTAACCACTAGACCACTGAGCTTGCGCTTGGTGACTAGTGATGAATCCAATCCCCTAGTAGCAGCGGGTAGTGCAAATCACTTTTTTTTGGGAGTATTTGGGGACGTACTGAGTATTCGGTACGATAACATGTCAGGTTGGGCAAAACATCACTCCTGTGATATTTCCTGACGCAAATTTATATCTTTATAGCATGACAATATGGTTGTTGATGATGATAATATTGAATATTTTGATGGTGTTGTTGATAGAGCATTGAAGTCAAATATGTTGATACTGCTGATGAATCATGATTTGTCAGTGCTGGTTATTATGTCTAGGTTAAAAATGTTTTTGCCAGTGTTTTTTGTTTGCAATCTTTGGTAGTTAAAATCTGCTTATCAATTAAAATTGCATTGGCATTTTGGTGATACAAAACATTTAGGGATTGACTCCGGAAATTGTTGCCAGAAATTTGGCCCTATATGGCTCAAATCGGTTAACTCCACCTCCAAAGACGCCAGCATGGATCAAATTCTGTAAGCAGTTATTTGGTGGTTTTGCAACCCTACTGTGGGTTGGATCCATTCTCTGTTTCTTTGCCTTTGGCATTGAATGTAGCAAGAATGGATTTGATGAAGCCATGAAAGACAATGTAAGTTTGCATCAAAGTTATAATTAACTCTAGTTTGTTGTTACCACTAACAGTTTTTTTGCTTGTTGAACTATAGGGGCTAACTAAAGCTAGAGCCAAAGAAATTCTGGAGCGTGATGGGCCCAATTCATTAACACCACCTCCAAAGACACCAGAATGGATCAAATTTTGTAAGCAGTTGTTTGGCGGTTTTGCAACCCTACTTTGGGTTGGATCCATTCTTTGTTTCTTTGCTTTTGGTATTGAATGTGGGAAAGCTGGATTTGATGAGGCTGTTAAAGATAATGTGAGTGGAAGAACAGGTTGCGCACCAGCAACATGCTCCTCAGGTCAAGTGATATTATGTTGGAAGTGATCATATAATTTATCATCAATCTTTTGTGAATACTTTCACAATACATTGATGTAGACAAATGGAATTTAAGAACCTTTTGAAAACTCAGAAAAACTCATCAAACCAACCCATATGCTTTAACACTTATGGAAATGGAAAAAAATAAAGTTTGTTTGAAATGGATAATATAACACTTTGCTTTGGGTTTAAATCTTTTGCAAACTGCTTGGTTTTATTTGTAGTTTTTTCAGTTAAATCAATTGGAAAAGTTTACTGCTTTATACTTATAAAAGATTTGTTCTGTTTTTAATCAAAGAACTACCACTTCCAACATGTTTCTTTTTATTGCTTGAAGAGTAATATAACAATTTACTTTACTTTTTTCTTTTAATGTTATCCTCATGTAGCTAGTTTGTAAATCTGAAATGAGTCTTTTCAAATTGTGTCAAACCACAAATTAACTAACCAGTGTTTGTGGGCCTTAGCAATTGTATTCAATTGGAGAGTTTCATTAACATTAGTTTTATTATCTACTATTTAGCAAAATTTGAATTTTTTTTAAATAAGTGCTTGCAAATCTTACAGCTGGCAAATAACAAGAGTTTAGATTAGAAAATATTAAAATGTATACTTCTTTCTACTATACTTCTTTATTTGTACAAATTCAAGTTAATGTAATAATGGATCTGAAAATATGTATTTTATAATTCAATATTTCCCCAAATAATACAACACAATTTGGATAAAAGTTCCTTGTACAAGGGAAACTAACATTACACACACCACCTCCACTCCTAAACATGGCTGGCAGCTAAGTCAATACATTTTAGGTGCCGTTTAACATAATTACAAGTGTTCCTTTGTATGTTATCTTTGTATGTTAGTAATTGAATGTGTTTACATATTAGTTGTACCTGGGACTTGTATTAGCCATTGTGGTCATCATTACTGGATGTTTCTCTTATTATCAAGAAGCTAAGAGTGCTGCTATCATGGAGAGCTTTGAAAAGATGGTGCCACAGGTAGGCTTTTCAACTTAATCTTCATTCTTGTTAAATTCAGTTTAGGTATTAAATTGGTCATATTAAAATAATAAAACTAAAATAAATTTTAATGGTAAATTCCTATGTTGTTATGTTCAGGAAGCTTTGATTCTGCGCGATGGTCAATGGAGTTCTGTTAATGCCGAATATGTTGTTGTTGGTGACATTGTTGAGGTGAAAAGTGGAGATCGAATTCCTGCTGACATCCGCATAATCGAAGCAAGAAGTTTGAAAGTGGACAATTCCTCACTGACTGGTGAATCTGAACCTCAGTCTCGTGGACCAGAGTTCACAAATGATAATCCACTTGAAACCAGAAACATCGCATTTTTCTCTACCAATGCAGTAGAAGGTAAATCAGTCTCAGATGCATTCATTTTCAGTATGTATAATTATGTATTTAAGATTGATGTATGTTCTGAAACACCTCATGCTGTATTCTGACCAGGTATTTTGAAGCGACACAACGTACACGTAATTGGCCCATGTTTTAATACGCTAGGTAGCTTGTCTCTCATGCCTATTATAGTAGTAAATTCTGTTCTATCAAAACTTAGTGAAATAGAGAATAATAATAAAATCATGTTTTTTAGGATTTTTTTTGCAATGTTATTGAAATTGAGAATAAATGTTTATTTTGTATTGTCAGGGAACGCTAAAGGCATTGTAATTCAGTGTGGTGATAATACAGTTATGGGACGTATTGCTAACTTAGCATCTGGACTTGATGTGGGCGAGACTCCCATTGCAAGGGAGATCGAGCATTTTATCCACATTATTAGCGGGGTTGCCGTTTTCCTTGGAGTGACTTTCTTCTTCCTCTCATTCGGATTGGACTACACATTAATTGAAGCTGTAGTCTTCTTAATTGGCATCATCGTTGCCAATGTTCCTGAGGGCCTGCTTGCAACTGTCACCGTGAGTATTGGTTAATCATTCAGAATACAGTATAGCAGAGTTTGTCAGTCTTTAATTTGTACTGTTGGTCTAATTATTAATATATTTTTGGTGATACTTGTTTTATTTTGTAGGTGTGTTTGACTCTAACAGCCAAACGAATGGCTAAGAAGAATTGTTTAGTGAAGAACTTGGAAGCTGTAGAGACTTTGGGATCTACTTCAACCATTTGTTCTGATAAAACAGGAACTTTGACGCAAAACCGAATGACAGTGGCTCATTTGTGGTTTGACAATTCAATTGTTGAGGCTGACACAACTGAAGATCAATCTGGTAAGTTACCACATTCTTTACTTTGAATGTGTAGCTTGGTAGTGTAAAATGTGCAGTGTTTGTACCATCATTTAATTGTTAAAGTAGTATTTCTAAACATTTTGGTAGAACTTTGACAAATCATAAAGGTATATCCACCAGATGTTCTTTACTGCCATCAACAAAAGGCACATTAGGTGTGCTTGTTCCAGCAATTCAATTAAATCAACAGTGTCCATTCAAAATGTAATTTTAAATGTACTCTTAGGAAATGCATTAATGGTTGACTGTTGTTTTGACTTAGGCGGTGGTACTACGAGCAAGGAATCTCTAACCTGGCGAGAATTGACCCGTATTGCTATTCTCTGTAATCGATCAGAATTCAAAGCTGGACAAGAGAGTGTCCCGGTGCAGCAAAGGTATGATAACAAGAATGGATTGTAAATTACATTAAGTTATGGAGCACTTTACATTATTATTGTAAAGCCTAATGTACTAAAACTATCTAAACCTCTTCATGTAAATATTGTGATTAACTAATTTATTTGCAGGGAGACAACTGGTGATGCGTCTGAGTCTGCTTTAACTAAATATGCAGAATTAACTCGTGGAAATGTTAAAGAATTTCGATCTAAAAATCCAAAAATTGCGGAGATTCCATTTAACTCCACCAATAAGTACCAGGTGTCTGTTCATGAGGTTGAAGGTGATGAGCGTTACTTGATGGTGATGAAAGGAGCACCTGAAAGAATCCTTGATCGTTGTAGCACCATATCGTTGGATGGAACTGAAAAGCCTTTGGGTGATGAGATGAAAGCTGCTTTCAACAATGCTTACTTAGAGCTTGGTGGTCTAGGAGAGCGTGTGCTTGGTAAGTGCTTAGTCGATTTAAAAAACAAACTACTTTTATGTTTTGTTGTCGAAAGATAACAGAACTTTGTATGACAGCCTTTGTATTGTAAGCATGACAACATGATTTTTTTTCTCACGACCAATAACTCCACTTTCTATGCCTCATAATGAGACTTATTCTGTGTATGTTGAGTATATATTCATCATGGTCAATCATTTTTTTCTTCTAGGCTTCTGTCAGTTTTGGTTACCTGTTGATAAATTTCCTCGTGGTTTTGAATTCAATGTTGAAAGTGATGTAAACTTTCCTCTTGATAATTTGTGTTTTGTTGGACTCATGTCTATGATCGATCCTCCTCGTGCTGCTGTCCCTGATGCTGTGGGCAAGTGTCGAAGTGCAGGAATTAAGGTAATTTCATTTTTTTATGCAATAAAAGTTTTTCATCACTCTAACTAAATTTCTCCAAAAATATTCAAATTGTTTATATTGTAAAAAATAATGTAATTGTTTTGTTTTTAGGTTATCATGGTAACAGGAGATCATCCAATCACAGCAAAGGCCATTGCTAAAGGTGTTGGTATTATTTCTGAAGGAAATGAGACTGTAGAAGATATTGCTCAGCGTCTTAGTGTACCAGTTAGTGAAGTAAACCCACGGTAAGATTGATTGAGTATAGTCACATCACAAATTTTTAATTCCATAAAAATCTAGGTAATTTCAAGAAGGCATATTGCATTATTTGGCAAATGACATAGCATATATTTCTATATTAACATTGTATTGCTAGACAAAAATGAAGCTTTCTAGTTATTGAATTGCTTTTTCTGGATAAGAAATGCTGTGGCTGGTGGTACTGTATTACTTAAAGCGCATAAAAACTTATGTAATATGTGCACTATCAAATTACATTACATTATTTGATTATTATTTATTTGTGTATAGTGATGCCAAAGCTTGTGTTGTTCATGGATCTGAATTGAAAGACATTTCAAATGAAGCCCTAGATAGTATTCTCAGTGAACACACAGAAATTGTGTTTGCTCGTACTTCACCTCAGCAGAAGTTGATCATTGTAGAAGGTTGTCAGAGGGCTAAGCAGATTGTGGCTGTGACGGGAGATGGTGTCAATGATTCTCCTGCCTTAAAGAAAGCAGATATCGGTAGGATTTTTAAGAGGGAAATAGAAGAGAGTTGAAAATGTAGGGGTATTGAGATGAAAGTGTTAAGAGGAATTAATAGAGGAAGAGCACACATTACCAAGTCTAGTATATACAAATCTAATAAAAATTTCTTACAACTCTTCGTAAGCACTTCTAACGCTTTCAATATTAATATTATCAATAGATTTTGCTTGTTTTGTAGTAAGGGGCGTTACAAACATAATGTAGGTGTATCTTGGTTAACACTCTGACCACCAGAGGGTTAAAAAAAATATTAGGCCCTATCAGCCACCGCGCCAGATTTTTAGCGAATTTTAACTCTTTCCCGTGTGTATTTGATTAGATTGACATTTAATACATACTACAAGAACTACAAACATTTTGGTACCAAACACTTCATTCTAATCACAATCTGTGACCCTTAACAGTAAAATGAAAGGAACACAATTTTGTTGTTATTCACACAATGAAGCTGAGATAACCACGTTTCAGTATCGCCATGCAATATTAGGTCACTGAGAATAGGTCACATTAAAATAGCAAAACACTTGAGTCCAGACTGAATATAGTGTTCAAGTTGTTAGTACATGTTGGTAATTACTCAATCTATAGGATTTTTTTTTTAAACCGTGTTTGGCAATCAAGTGTTGCGTTACCAATCACAGAGATCTTTGTTGTTTGGCGGGCAGAGTGTTAATGTGCTTGATTTTATTCCTGTGACACCATTTCTTTTTTACAAACAACTACTAAACAAACAACTACTAAACAAACAACTACTAAACATACAACTACTAAACAAACCTCTCAATTCCCTAAGCACAATTATAATAAGCAACAAGTGTGGATATATTAAAAACCGAAAGGTCCACTGATTAATCTCAGATAAGAAAGTATAATACATACTCCAAGTATTGAAATACCAATACATTAATTATGATGACATAATTAATGTCGAAATATTGAATCCCAACACGATGGCGTGTATTTCAATACTTGGAGTATGTATTATACTTTCTTATGTGGATATATTGTTCTAGTGTTATTTTCAATTTTGATAATGTTGATTATTTTATTATTATTAATGTAAACTGCATAGAGGTTAGTCTACAATATGCGCTATATAAGTCGGTAATTATTATCATTATTATTATTATTGTTATTATTATTATTATTATTTATTATTATTATTTTCCGTAGGCGTTGCTATGGGTATTGCTGGTAGTGATGTCAGTAAGCAGGCAGCTGATATGATTCTTCTTGATGACAACTTTGCATCTATTGTAACTGGTGTAGAAGAAGGTAGACTAATCTTTGACAATTTGAAGAAGTCCATTGCCTATACCCTGACAAGCAACATCCCTGAGATATCTCCATTTTTGATTTTCATCTTGGTGTCGATACCTCTACCACTTGGCACTGTCACCATTCTCTGTATCGATCTTGGTACTGATCTGGTGAGTACTGATACAAACATTTTATGAATATATTTATATTTACATTTTAAAATATATATATATATTTTTTCATGTGTTAAATTTAGTTAAATAGCAAAAACACTTTGTTTAAAAATTTATTTTTATAATACTCAATAAAATAATATTTTTATCCATACATCCATAATCTGCTTGAGAGTCTCAGTATGGGTAGGTAGGCAGATGCCTTCATTAATAAAGTTTGTCCAGCAGTGCAAGATGTGAAAAAAAAGTATAATGCTGAATGTTGTCAGCCAAAGCTAATGATGCCATCAGCCAAAGCTAATAATGTCAACAGCAAATGTGATGGTGTCGAAATTCATAGTATTTTGAAGTTCTTTTTGTGAGGATACTGTCCCAGACCCATATTGATTTTGTGTTGTGATTTTCAGTGGCCTGCCATTTCACTTGCATATGAAGAAGCTGAAAGTGATATCATGAAACGTCAACCTCGTGATTCTGAGAAAGATAAGCTGGTCAATGAGCGTCTCATCAGTGTTTCTTACGGACAGATTGGAATGATCCAAGCATCTGCTGGATTCTTTACTTACTTTGTTATCATGGGTGAGAATGGATTCCTGCCTAATCGCTTGGTTGGCTTGAGATCACAGTGGGATGATGTTACCAACCACAGCGTCGAAGATTCTTATGGATCCCAATGGGTATGTCATTCAGCTTGTATTGAACTTTGTGATGATGGTAAAACCTAGAATATAATTACGACACACACATATTATAGATAGTCAACTACAGTGTAAAGAGTAGTTGTAGTACATCGTTTGGGTTGAATATACATTGCACTGCCTGTCCTACAGTCACTTTGTCTTCACAGTGTTGTAACATGTGGCACAGTGTGTAAGGTGTTGGGCCTTTGGAGTTCAAGACTGAGGCCCATCACATTGCTTATGTCATTGGGCAAGGCACTTTACTTTACTTTTCTCCACCCAGGAGTATAAGTGGGTACCTGGTAGGATAGTGTGGCATTGAACGTATGTGGTTGTGTGCGTAGAACAGCATGACTAGAGATAAATTAAATGGTGTTTGTTTTTAATTGTAATGTTTTCAATATTATTTTTTATCATTATATTTCAGACATACCAACAGCGAAAGGTTCTTGAGTACACCTGTCATACAGCATTCTTTGTGAGCATTGTCGTTGTGCAGTGGGCTGATGTTATCATTTGTAAGACTCGCAGGAACTCACTTCTTGATCAAGGAATGCAGTAAGTTGCCAATCATCATACTCTTTAAATCTAATTTATGAAATGCAGTGTAGTATTTATAAAGTCACTAGAATGTCCACTTAACTTGAACATCTAAATTGTGAAAATTCATGTTGTACTTGAAAGCCTTTCAGTTACTTGATATAATCCATGTTATTTACTTTCAGCAACTGGGTGTTGAACACTGGTCTCATATTTGAAACCTGCTTGGCAGCATTCCTGTCATATTGCCCAGGTCTTGAGAATGGTCTAAGGATGTACCCACTCAGGTATATAGCCCAGTTTTGTATTTATATTTAATATTAAACACAGAGGGTCCTGACAAGGCAAACCCAGTTTGGAAGCCTGCAGGAAAGCAATATTTCATTTCAGATTCATTGCAGTATTTGTTATCTTTGAATGTGAATATTTGTGGTTAGATAATAATGTAGGGAGATGAACCCTATGCTTTCATGTACTTGTCTATGCTTGTCCTCTTTAATGTTTTTGGATATTATGACATAAGCAAATAGCAAATTGATAAAATTTTATGATTATTTTATAAAGATAAATTGAGTGGAGAGATAAAAAATGCCATCACTTGGAAAGAATGCTGCTGGTTAAAATGTTTAGTAATAATTTTAATGAAGTAGCACTACCACGTAGGATGCATGGTTAAAGGGACAAATCATTGCCACTAGGACTCACCAGTTGAAAGACATTTATATTAATGCTATTTAGTAATACAAAGATAAAATATGTTTGTTGTAAGATGTTTGTTCTAATTAATGGTATTATTTGAAATTTTATTTTTCAGAATTAATTGGTGGTTCCCAGCCTTCCCATTCAGTCTACTCATCTTCATCTATGATGAATGTCGTCGTTACATCATTCGTAGCAGACCAGGTGGATGGGTTGAAAAGGAGACCTACTATTAGTGTTTAATGAAATGAATTAAATGAAATATTTCAATAAATGTGGCAAAGACAGGCCAAACCACTTGCAAATCGTGTTTCAGAGATAATGACCAAAACTGCTGGAATGTCAGCATTTTTAAAATCTGCTTTATTCCACTAAACTAACCTTTATATCTATACATCATGCTATGTTATTATTTTTCCCATTTTCAATGTTAAAACAATAATTTTTAACAATATGGTAATGGTTTCTGTCTGAGAAATGCCTAAAATCGTAAACTTTGAAGGCTGATTGCTCAAATATTTTGCTTTAAACAGCAGTATGTTTAAACTCCATAACAAAATGTCGGATTTAAATTATTCTTTTACCATTTTATATCTCATTTTTTAACTCTGTATTGATAACTAAAAATCAATTTTTTTGTGAGAAGTGACTGGTTTGGCTTGTCGTTGCCACAAATGATTACACACTCTTGCTACAATACACAGCGAAATACCAAACACAGGTCACATAAAACATCTATTAACTTGAATTTGCCTAGCAGAATATCAGTCCATTTAGTAAACATCTCTAGATGAGCCTTGCTAAAAGGCTTAGCAGGATATCAGTCTATTCAAACATCATCTCTTGACATCCAGGTATAGCTGGATAAGAGTCCAATCAAGCAACATCTCTTGTCCAGGCTTAGCTGAATATCAGTCCATTTAATACACTTCTCCTAACCACCAAGGTTTAGCTAAATATCAGTCCATTCAAACAACATCTCCTGGTCAGGCCTAGCAAAATATCAGTCCATTCAAACAACATCTGTTGACAGCCCTTTCTGGATGTCAGTTCATTCAATAAACATATCTTGACCAGGCCTTGCTGGATATCAGTCCATTCAACAGCAAAAATAAAGTAAACGGTCAAATAGTTTCACCAGTAATTTCTGTGAATTTTAACATGAATTCTAAATGTAAACATATAGATGCAACAGTAAAATGATTGAAGTAGCTTAGATGTACTGTACGTGCTTTTAGTCCTGTCTCTTATACACATCTAGATGTGTATAAGAGACAGGTGTAGTATTTATATAAAACAATTTTGATAAAAATAGTAGATTAAAATAATCCTAAATTATTTTTAGTTTCTCAATTTTCCTAAACAAATACATTGTCTTTGGCAGGTCAAGATGCAAGCCTCAGTCAGGAACTTGTGCCCCATGATTAGGTGGTCTGTGAACATAAGCAGGACCATAACATCTGTCTCTTATACACATCTTTAATGTTTGTAAAATAAATGTAAAATAAAAATGCTAACTAATGTTTTATGTGTGCCTCCTATCTCTCTAGTCCTGTTTGAGCGTAAAATATACGGTAGGCCTTAGTGTATTTCCACTCACAATAAGGGTAGTTCCAACTACAACGTGTTATCGTACGATAACACGTCATGTAGGGCAAAGCATCACTCCTACATTTCCTGACGCAAATTCATATCTTTATAGCACTTGCAGTACCCGTTGCTACTTGGGAATCGGATTCATCACTAGTCACCAAGCGCAAGCTCGGCGGTCTAGTGGTTAAAAAATCAGGTTAGATACCTGGAGGTCGTTGGTTCAATTCCCACCCCGGAATAATCACTTTCCCGAATTTTTTCGCTAGGATTTGGGGACGTACTGAGTATTCGGTCCGGTAACGTCAGATAGAGCAAAACATCACTCCCATGATATTTCCTGACGCAAATCCATATCTTTATAGTATTTTTGAGCTAGGCCTAATTAGTTATTTTTATGAATATAAGCGGGTGATTATGAGGAAATTTAAACAACCTTCATAATGAATATTTCAAGGGGCCCAGTCGGCAATCCCCTTCACCACTTCCTAAAATTTTCAAAATTATGAAAGAAAAAAAAAAAATGTGGAGGAAAAAAGAAAATTTAGGGGAGAAAATATATGCTGGGGTGGCGCCAGGCCAGATTTTCCCGACGGGCCCGAAGTGGGCATGGTCATGCTGGACGGAGGCTCAAAGCGTTTTGAAAGTGATCCAGCCCAGGGGCCGCCCCGAAGCCCCTGAAAATTATGATAATTAAAGTAAGGGTTTCAGAGGCTTATTTAATATATTTTATAGATAACTATTAAGGGGACACTTTTTCAGCTGATTACTGTAAAGCCAAACACCGTTGAAATGGACAAAACTAACACTTTAGGTTGTCTCTGAAGTACAAATGTTTTGACAGATTTCAACATGAAACAACACACGCACGCATGCCACACTTTTGCACTTTTACTGTAATTCAAATTTATTTTTCGTTTGGCCTCGTTTCTGAAGAATATGCAAACCTTCTAATTTTTCCGCCCATAGGTTGAGGAATGGTGCTCTATAGAGGAGCAAAATTATATGACCGACTAAAAAATGGAAAAATGATGAATAACAGAGAGAGAGAGAGGGGGAGAGAGAGTCACACTGGAAGAAAGTATCTGGCAAGCTGCCAAAGTAGCCTAGGTATTAATATAGGCTATGTAGATGGATAGAATTAAGAAAAATTTGGTTCATTAAAAATGCATTAGAAATAAAAGGTTGTTGATTTATTGGTGTTATTATTTTGTTTTGAAAATTTAATATGCGCGAGTTCAATTTCTCTACAGATACTAATAGTCTGCAATCTGTAGGACCACCATCCATAGTGATACTGTTTTGAAGTTCCTTTTCATTAATTCATTCAGTCATCAAGTCTGCCGTCGTCGTCGAAGAGGACAGTTCTAGCCTATTTCGTAAGTGTGTGAGCATTATTTCATTAAAACGACTAAATATAGAATTTAGTAATTACCTTTTAAATTGTTACAATACTATATTCTTAAACACATTAGCATGCAAGGGCGATTTTATCTTATATATGTTAAGTAATCCAAATATACAGCCAGGCCTAGGAGGGTTGGCTAGGGCCTAGGCCTAGTAGGCTAGGCCTAGTAGGTTTAGTCAGGCCTAACGGCCTAGTTCTGAGGCTTCCCCTCTCTAGGGGCCTAGCCTAGGATAGGGAGTTGTTATAGTGACTTAACAACTCCTTGCCTAGGCCTAGTAGTAGTAGTCTGGCCCTATTATTCGCCAGCAGCCTAACTGGGCTGATGAGATGATCAGGCCCACGCCAGGACAATCGGGTCCACGTAGTGGGGACTTAAATTAAGGGCCCACTTTCATTCTGATATATTGCGTTCCAAATTTATTTAACAATAGGCCTACATACTGTAGGCCTAGGCTTCTGTTTTTATCGATGAGGGAGGGACTGTTTATATTTGGCCTGTACCCGGGCCTGTAGTGTAATAGTAAATATTGTATAAAAACTGGTTTAATTAATTTTATAGTTTTTTAAAGAAAATTTATTTGAAGTCACAAAATTGCATTGTTATTTTATGCTGTTGAAATAATTAATAATTCCAGCATCAATATTTTCCCGAATTTTTGACGCGGACGGGAGTGATAATCTAATAAATTTTTCTATTTGCCCTAAATGGCAATAAGTCAAAAGGCAATAAACCATATGCCGTAGTTATTGATCCAACACCGAAACCCAACTGCCCAACGTGGTTTGATATTTTCAAAGTCAAAAACGTCGCGAGCAAGGATTGAAAGAAGGTATTCAAAACATCAGCTGTTTCTGCATCATTTGCGGTAAAGTTCCCATCCTCTTTTTTTCAAGCATTGGAATTGTAGGTTTAATGTTCTGCTGGGATCTAACATAAATATGAAAAGCTTTATGTTGCTTTATAAAATTCTTCATAAGCTTTTTTTCAAACTTGACCTGCGTTTGTCTTATTATCTTTTTAACCAAATTGCTTTGACATCTATTACTCCTGATAATCCTTGTATTTGATATTTTTTAAGTAGCTGATGTTTTTTCCAAACAGCTTTTTTGACACCGGCTCTCTCATTCAAAACTTTATTTAATCTAGAAAATGCAAAATTTACAGCATGGTATATGCAAGATTGGAACTTTTTGATTTAATAGCCTTTTTTGTAATATTAGATTCACTTGATTGGTTGCAGATATCTTTAAACATTTACCACATGTTTTAATGCAATTTACATCTGTAGGGCTAACAAACACGTATGTCACACGCAAGCAGGTCAACTTGGCCCCAGGTCAACTATCCCCAAGTCAAATCATTTATAATATAGAAAATTATAATATATTATAAGGTCCAGAATGATGATTACAGTACTTTTTAGCTAAAAAAGCTCAAAATTGCGCACAACTTCAATTCATATATATCAAATATTTATTGTATATAATTGCAAATATTGTCACAAATTATATTATTCTAAATAAATAGTAGTAAAAATAATAATAATGTCATCTTATTAGGCGTATGTATCCATCTCTTGGTAGAGCTGCTCATGGCGCCGTTTTCCACCTGCAGAGTGTACATGTAGCCTTTTTCTGCATTATTATTTTGAATTAATTAATTTTATTTAAATTATTTATTTTTATGTATATTTATTTATGACAGACCTGACATGGATGGGAAAGATAGGCAAAATAAGATGCAAATATTCTTCGGGGTCACCATCCATCACCACCCTGGTGCATTCCTGGACCTCTGCCTAGGTGGCTTGAACAAAGGGACTGGAAACACATTTGCCCTGCCACAGATGACTGGGTGCTCAGGAGTTGTAATCGAGACAATGGCCCCAAAAAATAAATGCCGTATTTAGTGTATTTATAATATGATAAACCATAGTGTAAAGTTTTTGAATTGCGTGGATGATACCTCAAAAACCATCTCAAATTTGCACAGAAAATCGCAGGCAAAATAGGTGTGCAGAACAAAATCGTAATTACTGCCACATTGTTTATATATTATTATAAGATTAAGTCAAAGGCTAATTTTTGGCAATCTGCATGGAAATGTTTTTGAAATTTATAAAACAATTTTGATAAAAATAGTAGATTAAAATAATCCTAAATTATTTTTAGTTTCTCAATTTTCCTAAACAAATACATTGTCTTTGGCAGGTCAAGATGCAAGCCTCAGTCAGGAACTTGTGCCCCATGATTAGGTGGTCTGTGAACATAAGCAGGACCATAACATCTTCCTCAGTAGCATTGAACAAGGCCAATGAAAGCAATCTAGATCCTATTCAGAAATTGTACCTAGAGAAAGTAAGGGCATATGCAAAAAAAAGCAAGTGAGTATAAAATGTCTGAGTACTGTATCATGTAGTGGAGTGTGTACTATTCATTAGTAAAACAAACTTGGGGAGCAAATGATTTTAGAAGTTATTCACTGAACATTAGTATTAGCAGATTTCAGTACTATATATTACTTTGAGTGTGGTAAAAAACAGTTCAACCCCCCCCCCCCCCCAACAAAAAAAAAGAGGGATCAAATTTGAGTTCAAGAGAGAAAAAGGGAGTGCACCCATGAGTTCAGTGGTGATCTAGCAGTGGGAGAAAGGAGAGCTCGATTGTTTACCACTTATTTACACAACCATGGTGGGGCAGCGGTGGGCGTGGCAGCGTGGACTTCATATTGTGCCATCCCCCCCTTCCCGTCAGAAAATCTCTGGATCTGCCGCTGAAAAAATTCCGTCAGTTCATAAATATTAGTTGAAATTACTGATGCTCAAAGTGGATCCTGGGTCCTAGGTGGTGATAGTGATAAAGCTAAAAGATGATGCTGATAATGTTAAGTAAAAGGATGTGCTATTATTACCAGCATTTAATGTATACTGTATTTCCGTTGCAGAGCAAGTAGTGGTGCAATGGTTGATCCCAATCCACAAATTTTGAAGGAGATTGAGCAGGAAACAATAAAGTTGAACAGGTTATATGGTGGTGGTGATATGACTCAGTTCCCAGAATTTCAATTTAATGGTATGTAACAATCTTTATATATTAAACTTTGATGTCTGTAGATTGTTGGCAATATATAGTACTGACCACCTTTATCTGTTAATGTAATACTTAATTGACCTTTATCGCGTATTAATTATATTGTATAATTGCCACTGTGAAGTCTAATGAAATAAAAAATAAATTTGGAAATTCTAAAATATATCTTCAATTTACAAGTACTGTACTGTAGTAGGAAACTCATCTTTCTTTTTCTGTTGTCCTTGAAAGTGCACAGACACGATTGTTATGCACACAAGTGCACAACCGTTGACCATTGTATGTTAAATTCCAGAGAAATCCTCAAAATTTACTTTCAGTGAGACATGAATGATGTGTATAAGAGACAGCCATTTACATACATATGATTCGATGGCGTGCTGTCCTCACTGTGTAAACGCTGTCTCTTATACACATCTAGATGTGTATAAGAGACAGGTTTTACTGTACACTAAATAAATCTTATAAATTTATTAGATTTTTTCTTGCTGGAAACTGAAATAAAAATTACCACTTAATTATGGTATTAAAATTTCCTTGTTTATTATTGCAGAGATAAATTTTGAAGAGAAGTGATTTTCTGTGTGTAGTGGGTCGATGTCAGTGATCAAGCAACAAGCTGATTGATGTGTTAAAAATCAACAAGAATTAGAAACAGTATGCACAACTTCATCAAAACCAAATTTAATCCTAGCTGCGATCAGAACTCGATTACAGATCAACTTTAGCTGAGCCGCTTGTTTACTTTATTTAGATTTGAAGCTCAGAATAACACAATTCATGAACTTCGTTTCTGAGAGTTTTTGTCTTGATATAAATACAAGTGTTGCTATTGTTTATGTTTGCGAAATGAAGAGTGATTAAAGTATATCAAGTATATTTTGTAGTCAGTTTGATATTGTAATGACACATTATGTTATCTAATGTCTACTTTTCTAATGTTTTATTAAATAGTTTATATTCTTGTATTTATCAACATCCTCAATCATCATCTAGTCATGCTCGCTCCAACACTTATTCCAGCAAGTCTTCCAGATGTCCTAATTCTTTATTCCATCATCTCAAGGGTACAATATTGCATCTGTTGGTAAAAAACATGTAACCTTAAATATACTTATTATCAGGTGTTAAGATTGAGCTATATACACTAAGAACATGTGTAAGCATTTATACTTAAGCTAATACAACAGCGCTATGAGCACTAAGCCAATGTGTTGCTGTCTTTCTGACTCACCCTAAAAGTCCTCTACCACTCCACCGCTGGGGGGTCAGAGACAAAACAATCCTCTTGGAATCTCTTAAAACAATCACCCTGATTGGTTTCTGGAAGATGGGTAAAAAGAACCTTTGTTCATTATATGAGTACAGATAGATAATTATTATAAATAATAAATCCTAATACAGGAACCCCTTGCCAAGAGATATAAGCTGCAAACAATATAAAATTTGGTATAGGCGAAAAAATCATAACTGAGTGGCGGCCCTCTTAACATTACAATGTGTTTCTGGGTAGTTGGACCTACCCAGTAAAAAATTCAAGTTTTTGCCAAGGAAGCCGAGTTTTCAGTATTTGAGACATGACTCCATATCTCTGTGTATACAAGAAACTATGAAATAATTGAAAGATAGAATACCCGATCCATGACAGTACTTAATATCGTACTTACTCCTTGACTATTTTGTACAATACTGCCAATTGCTTGGATGTTTTTAAAGTTCCCCTTATGCACTGATCCAAAATATACTACTTCATCACCAACTCTAAAATCCTTTGCAGAAATATAACAAAATACAGGTAGATGATAAATCAGAGGCGTGCATAGAAATGGTTTGGAGTGCAGCGGAGGGTTACACACAATGTTTGGTGTTTTATGGTCAAAATTTGATGCATGTTGTGGCGCCGGAGGGGGGGGGGGCCCTACATTCTTTTCGGGAAAAAAAATATATTTTTACATATTAGACTCTAAAGTCATTTAAATAAGCCCTTGAAACCTCTAAATATGCCCCTGGATCACTTCCAAGACATTTTGAGTGATGCCCAACCACAGCCACTTGCGTTCTCGTCCGGGAGTCAGCCCCTGTTGGAAAAATCGTGGTACCACCCTTGTTTGCACTATTTTTATTCCGCTTTATGCTCAGTTTAATATTACTTTTTATGGATCAGAAAAGGGCTGTAACAACTTGGGATTTTATAACTGAGGATGGTAGGTGAGCTGCACACAGGGCGAGTAAATTATGTTTGTTGGCCGCATCAAAATTGGCATTGGGCCAAACTTTGTCCATCTGTGAAAAAATAATCATAATTCATAACAAGGGTCATTGTAAATAATCGCTCATTTAAAACCACCAATTTTAAAGTTAAATACGACAATATAGACCATTTGTATAGGCAAATAAATTGAATAAGGTTTGATTAAGCAAATTACAATCACATTTGATTACAGCTGCATTGTACAATATTATATTGAACGATACGCACCCCAGTTTCTGCTGGTGATCCAGGAGTTACCAAATCAATTTTAGCAAAGGGGGAAAGTCTGGCTTCTTCAATCTGAACAGGTTCTACACTCTTTTCAAGTTGATCACGCTGAGCACCATGCAATTCATGCAGTGCTTTTTCAATATCATCCATCTTTGTTTTATAGTCATTCTGAAGACCTGAAGGAAGAAAAAAAATTGGCCTCAAATATTAAATAAATATTAAATAAAATTTTACAAACAGGAGTGATGAATTATAATTCAACCTCCTGAAACTACATCATTCTTTGCCTAGAAGGTGTCAATGTTAATTTGAGCATTTTACAATGCATACTGTTAAAGATCACAGTGTTTGAAACCTTTCCACTGACAAAACAAAAAGACAGTACAGTAACTCTGGAAAGAGACAGACATTTGAGATTCAGTGACAATCACCCAAGTTAAAACAGTTACAGTATCTGCGATGCAGGATTACTTTCACTGTACTGTATAGACTTTTATTCATGTGCTAGTCTTACTGTATCTACATCAAAAATAAATAGTGCCAAAACTATTATTGAAGAGTATTTGACAGATATGTTACAGAACAAAAGTAGTCATAGTTATTCAACTTCCATTTACATACATATGATTCGATGGCGTGCTGTCCTCACTGTGTAAACGTCAATATCATTCCTAGGATATCCCTCTCCATCAATTAATGGACCATTCATTCCAACATCTTTTTGCTAAATAAGTAAATTATTGACAACAAACATAATAATATTAATTATATTATTTAAGCTAACTGAACAGAATAGAGTGATTGTCAAATAAAATTATACACTACCCACTTTTTAATGTATTTCTGAATAAACCAACTACTAGTATTGTAAAGCATACAGGGTAATTTTTTAGAAATATAGATGGCATCGATGAAGAAATCAACAATTTTGTAGACATACCTAAAACATCATTCAAAAGAATCCTTAAGTAATATAATTTGTTACTTATACAAATTATATAAAATAATAATAATTAGAAAGAATGCAGTACACTGCTCGGAGGAATAGGACATTGCCAGAAACACCCCACTGAAAGGGGAACTTCAGTAGGTTAACCTTGGAATTTGGATGGAGTATTTTTCATACCAAACTAGGCCTATCTTTTTAATTTTCCATGGTATAACAAAATCATAACAAAGTAATAATTAATACCTGTACTAATAATATTAGGGCATATTGAAAAAAATTATTAGTCATTCTTTTTTGTGATGGATCACTTAAAAAAAAAAAAAGAATGAGAGTGGGTGGTTTTTTTTAATTGGAACAATAGAATATTGCTTTTCTTTTCTATTAATGAGGGACTGTTTCTATTTGGCAAGAATATTGTATAAAAACTGCTTTAATTTTATTACACAAAATTGCATTGTTTTTTTAAGCTATTGAAATAAATGATGCAGCAAAAAAAACCCAATTTTTTTCATTCCTGCATCAATATTTTCCAAATTTTTGACAAGGGCGAGTGATAATCTAACAATTTTTCTATGTACCTTAATTAACTTACTGCTTCTCTCGAACGTAATTATTTTATAAAATTTAATTTCGTTAACCAACCAGGGGGCTTAAATGAACTGGGGTCCTACTTAGCTAGGACTTGCCCTAGCTAGAGCCCAGCTAAAGTCTAAAGAAAAGCAGGATCAACCTACTAGGCCTAGCCTCCCTGGCCTCGACCCATCCTAGAGGCCCTAGTAGCCCTAGAGAGCAGATGATGATGGATGATGGTAGGCCTAGCCTAATTAACTACAGTTATAGATGATTAATCACCGATTTTAAAACTTCACTAAGTTCTTTTATTTCCTTTTCAATTTCTTCCTTTCCAACTATTAACGTTTGAACATCCTCTTTCAGTTTCTCCAATGACAATACTGGGGTGGTGGATGCCATCCTTGCATCTTCGTTCTAATGTTTTGATTTTGGAAATAAATGATGGCGCTGTTTAATTGACGTAAGCTGCTGTAATTATTTATAGTCAGGAAGGTATAATGCAAAATAATAGCGCAGGAAGTCAGATAATAATGCAGGTAATTTGCACGATTGAATTGGTTTTAGGGGTAAAATGTGATCTCTAATCACATCTTTAGTGACTCCTTTTTAGTTTAGTTTAAAGGAAATTGTAAGTTAGACCGTGGTTCCATGTCGTTCATGCAGTAATTAGTTGGAGTATGAAGCGACCTTTTCAACAACAATGCTAGTGGTGGTGTTGGAGTGCCTGGTTCTTTAAACCATGTTTAAACAAGGAGTTCAACTGGCTTAAATACCCTCCTTGTTTAGACATTGGCACACAAAATATGCAGCTGACATTCTGTTGATGAATAATCACAAAGATGTTAAGCAGTAAGTTGAACTCCATGATTGGAAAGCACGTTAAGGTACACAATTCAAAAAGGCTCAGTCATATTATTAGGTTTAAATTCTACTACCTAGCTAGAAGATTTTGAATTGGGAATTGATAAACACTATTATGTAATAGTATACTTCTTTGTACCATCATGCACCATCCCATTTCATTCTTTTAAACATCATGGTAATGATTTCAATAAATGAATGTTTAACAATCCCGCCTCATAATCTGTGTGATTTTTCCTTCAGTAGATTTGCTAATGACTAAGTCATTAGCACATAAGTCAAAAGGAAGTCAGCATGTCGGCATCAAACTGTGGTGACAAGATGGAGCCATCATCGTCAGATCAGCAGAAAGCTGGTGACAACCATCATCATGGAAATGAATCTCTGCATGATCAAGAAGACTGCAAAACCAAAGAACCAGAGGCTACACAAGGCCAACATGTCACCACTATACACAATTTAAAAGAAAATCATGAAAAAAAGGAATCTCCCACCCCACAAGAGGAAGACATGGTAAAAAATACATTATCCAGTGACATTGATGAAGCATTTGGCAATTTAGAATCAAGATTGATGGATGGAATGGAAGAAGAGGATGATAGAAAAGAAGAGAACAGTGCTAGTTTTTACAAGAAGAGAAAACTGATAAACTCTCATCAGAGAGAAAATGAAGAAGGAAGAGAAGTTGATGAGTCAGACAGTGATAGTGTAGGTGAAAGAGAATTAGACAATGTAGTAGAACAACATTTTGGAAGTGATACATCCACAGATGAAGAGATTGAACAACAGCATGATGAAAAAGACGAAGACATGAGTGACTTTGAAGACGAACAAAAGAATAAGCCTCAACCCTCTCTCATTTGGAGAGCACTTCCTGATCTTTTTAATCGTGAAAGAGGTTTGTTGCGGAATCCACTTAATTTCTGCCACAGAACAATTGCAAATGTTTCAATGGTACAAAGATTTAAACAGTATACTGCTCTGGACAGTCATGAAGGCTGTGTCAACACCCTTCACTTTAATCAGTCAGGAAATTTACTTACTAGTGGAAGTGATGACCTCAAGATCATTCTGTGGGATTGGGCTCGGGAAAAGAAGCTCCTTCAGTACAATAGTGGACATCGTGCCAATGTTTTCCAAGTAAGTACATGCTTAATATATATTGTTTCGATCCAACTTTTTCTATGGGGGGTCAGTTTTTTTTGCAAATTAATTTTCTTTTTTACAAAATCACAAGTTTGTTTCATGTCTTAATTTTGTCACAGAGAAATCTTTATTGAATGGATTTATGTTAAAACTGTTACTTTTTTATTTATTTTTAATTTATTATAAATTAATACTTGGTACTATTGGTATTTAATGAAAACTGAAGAGATAACCATGATAGTCAAACAAATCAAAATGGGTTTTGAAATAAAAACAATTCAGGCAATTTTTTTGTCATTTATTTAGTTTCTTTTGTGATTTTTGTCATCAGGCCAAGTTTATGCCATTTAGCAGGGATTCAACCATTGTCAGCTGTGCACGAGATGGCCAGGTGAGCTTTCATCACAGTAAATAATAATAAACTTTCAGTTCTTTTTGTGTGTTTATGATGCATCAACCCTTCACTAGTCCATTCAACTGTTCACTGGCACATCCAAATATCCATCCAACTGTTCACCAGTACATCCAAATATCCACTGGCACATCCAACTATTCACTGGTATATCCAACTATAATACCGGTACATAAAACTATCTACTGGTACATCCAGCCATTCACCAATACATCTAACTATATACTGGTACATCCAACTATTTACTGGTACTGTACATCCAACTGTTCACTATGAATAAAAAGTGTAGCCGTGTTAATCTGCTATGGAACAAATCTAAGAAAAGAAAACAGCACTTTTAAGACTTAAGGCCTGTTTATACCTGCAATGATAACGATTACCATAATTAGCTAAAAAGCAATTGTTCATGTAGAAAATAAAAAAGTTTTTACACTTGGACAATTTGATAATGATTTAACTGTACTATAAAAATATATTTTGACAAATCAATTTAAATGATGTCATAATGATGGTGACTATTTGTACAGTCTCAGTGTCACAGAGTTTGTGGGGCCCTGGGTAACAATTATTGGGGCCCTAATAAGTGAGCCTTGAGTTTGCGAGCGGAGAAAACAAACAAACACAGGGGCCAGGGGGCTGTGTAGGACCCCCGGTCGTGGTCCGAGGCCCTTTTGCGCTCAGAGCTTATGGCATTTATGAACTGTTAACTGCATTGTCGGAGAACATAGAATGGTAAAAAAAACTGCAGCGATCATTTACATGAGCCCTGATATAATGCGGTTTCTGTGTGATGATGCCAGGCCAGTGGATTTTTAATGTTTAAAACTGTCGGGGCCCCATTGAATGGAAACTTTAGTTTATATTATATTTTTTTTACACTACAATGCCCTGCCTCCTGATAAGTCCACTGAGTGGACGAAATCTAGAGAATAAATTTTGAATTCCTGGATCCGCCACTGCATTGGTTTATCCAGTTATCCACTGGTACATTCAGCTGTCTACTGATACATTCAGCTATCCACTGGTACTACCAACTATCAACTAGTATGTCCAACTATCAATCGTTTTATCTAAGTATACACTGGTATATCCAGCTACCACTGGTACATCCAACTATACAACAGTGGGTAGTGATTGATTGATTTATTCATTCATTCATTCGTTCATTCATTCATTCATTCATTCATTCATTCATTCATTCCATCCATCCTTACATCCATTCATTCATTCATTTATTCATTCATTCTTACGGTAACTATATTCCAAAATGATTAATTTCAACAATTCAATATATAATTTGTGCACTATTATTTGTAGGTGAGGGTTGCTGAAATATCAAGTGTTGGCAACTACAGAGATACAAGAAAGCTTGTTGGACACAAGGGGGCAGCACACAAGGTAACATTGTGTCATATTTGTTGCTACTAATCATTGTGTTAGAATACAAATGTTGCAGCGCCATGATTGCCATGAGCATAGAGTATTTGTAGGCTTGGAGTTGCTGTAAAAAGAGTGAAAGAAAAAAAGATATTGGAAATGACTCTCAAACTGCAAAGGAACTTATTTCTAGAGGAATCCCCTTACTCCAAATAAATAGCAAAGTAAGTTGGCTATAAAGTATTAATTTATGAATTGCCTTATGTTTTTAAAAATTTAATTGTATTGTTCTTTCCTTCAGCTTGCTCTTGAACCAGCCTCGCCAGTAGTGTTTTTGTCATGTGGTGAGGATGGCCAAGTCTTCAACATTGACCTTCGTCAGGAAAAGCCAAACAAGTAAGTGAAATACATCTTTCAAATCTATTGTGTACAAAACTCATTGGAAAGCTTGTTCCCAAACATTTTCAGGTGATAACCCATTTTCAGATTCCCCCATTTTGAGATGAGTGAAGACTTTATAAGAAAGTGTAGTACATACTCCAGTTACTGAAGCACATGCCGTCATGTTGGGATCAACATGACGGCAATATATCTACATTAATTATGTCATCATCAGGAATGGCTTTATATTGCATAGCTTGCAACATTGTAGTGCCTGTCTCTTATACACATCTAGATGTGTATAAGAGACAGGTATAAAAACTGCTTTAATTTTATTACACAAAATTGCATTGTTTTTTTAAGCTATTGAAATAAATGATGCAGCCACATAGATAGTTATCTACATGGTGTACAAGCATTAATATATATATATCTACAAAATTGTGAGCAAGTTGTAATTAAGCATGGATTGTGGTTTTTAGTGCATTGATAATGTTTAATAAGAACTCATGATGAACGGACGGATAGTTGTTAAATAAAAACTCATGGTGAACGGACGTGTCTGAGTTACGTGCTCTCGGTTTGCATTGTTAGCATTTTTTTCATTCCCGTTCAAGCAAGACTTATTCGTTGCGCTACTGAATAAAACTGCTTCATCTATCATTGATTCTTTTTTGCACATTGCTGCTTCTCTTATCAATTAACCCGATGGAAATCGTATTAAGTGAGCATTAACTTCAGGTCCATGTTGAATGTAATGTACCCTAATTTTACGCGTGCGCTTCATAACACATGCGTACACGTTCGTCAAAATTTCAAAATGCTCGAAATCACTTTTTGACAAAATTAGAGCCCATTTCAGGCCAATTTGAACATTTCAATTTTTTTTTTTTATTTTCCACTACGCACGTGCATTTTTATGGTACCAAACACTTTGTTCTGATCACAATCTGTGACCCATAACAGTAAAATGAAAATAACTCACTTTTGGAGATTTACGCAATTTTGCACAACAAAGCTTGAGATAATCGTGATTTTGAGAAAGTAAATTAATACCGCGCTACGCTAATGTAAACAAACATGAATAGTGAAATACTTACGATCCAGACTGAATATAATGTTCAAATTGTTAGTCCATGTCGGTAATTACCCCATCAATTGGATCTTGTAAAAAAACCTTAAACACGGAGATCTTCGTGTTTGGCGTTCAAGAGTTGCGTTGCCAAACACGGAGATCTCCGTGTTTGGCGGGCAGAATTTTAATTATGCATCATTTTCCTAACTCACCAAAGCCATATTATATATATGTATGCACTTAATGACTGATTTTGAATTTTATGTTGGTTTTCACTTGATGTAAACTTTACTGTATCCTCAGACTATGTACAGTAACCACCGAGAACGTGATGAAGAGCGCCGCCGTGAACCAGAAGGAATTGACAGTACAATGTTGATGTTGTTGATGCAGCACCTTCAAAGGCGTGCACGTCGACAGGTAGGCTCATGCTTGTATAGAAATAAAATATACCAGTTATTGAAAATGCTGATGGGGCAGAATAGGAAAAAAGGAATTGTGGTGGTGGGAGCAGATTGATAAGGAGGGCAGAGGCAGGGCAATGGCAGGAACAATAGCGATGATGGAGATAATAGGCAGATGGTGATAATGATAATTGAGTTAGTCCGCTGTGTCTAAAGCTCGGTTTCTATAGAATCGCTCACCCTTTCGGCAACAGTCACTGACAGTTGTCGGGAAGGTTGAACCTGGTTCAACTTTGCCAATTGATGAATCAGGGTGCCTTCCTGATTATGTCATAGCAGCTTGCAATGCACCCTGATTCATGTACTACTCAATCGGCAAAGTTGAACCAGGATCAACCTTCCCAGCAACACGGTGACTGAAACCGAGCTTTACTGCAGTTTGTTGTGAATATATTAGAATGTTTTCTCAATAGTGAAAATATTTATATCTACTAAAGGCTAGGGAGGCTGGTGGTGAAGTTGATAGTGACAGCGATGATACATCGTCAACTGATTCTGACAACAGTGATACCAGTGGTGAATTTCCTTCTGGAGGAGGGGTCCAGTGTCCAACATCATGAGGGCACAGTACAGTATGCTACATCTTGAGAGGGGTTTGGGGGTTCAAGTGTCCAGCTACATCATAACACCATAATTACCTACACGGAAATGGTCACTAACACAATAATAACAATAGCAATCGCATTGAAGGGCAGCAAACATACTAACAGCGATTTAAGGCACAAGGCACTTTATAAAGGTACTGTATATCTTCCATAGAAAAATATTGAAAGATTTTGAAACAGAACTAACATTGAATATTTATAGAAAATATATACTTTGTAACATATGATATTTGTGAACTTTGCTGATGTTTGTAAAGCAGCAATGTTTTGAGATTGCTGTTCAGTTGAGGATAGTTCCAGTTAAGGGACTTGTATTTGGTCCCAAGTAAGGAACTTGAATTTGTTCCCAGGAGACTTTAAGTGGTCTCAAGTAAAAGACTTAAGTTTCGTTCTATGAAATTGCTACACGCTATCACTGACAGTTTTTACCAAAGCTGATTGATCTGTTGAATTAGGGGGCGCTTTCCTGATTGCTTCGGGAACAGCTACAAAGTGTATGAATTTGAGTAAAAACAGTGGTGATAGTTTAGCAATTTTATGCAACTAGGCTTTAAGGTGGCGAGACTTCAAGAATATGTATTAGTTGATGTAGAATTTGAAGATTCCATGCAGAAGGTAATAGAATAGAAGATTCCATGCAGAAGGTAATAGAATCTGTTTTATGCCTGAGTTTTATAATCTTGCCCTTTTTTTAAATTTATAATCACAATGACATCTTTAATGGAAAATGGATGTATATGGCAATAAGCAGTTAATTTGTCAGTATATCACACTCCTCTCAGTTTGTTTTTTTGATCATCTTGTTTTCTATTGAAGGAAACCTATTGGAAAATGCAAATAATGAGGATGTTCTGGACAGTTTTTGTTAATCACTTTTGTTTTTCTGCATCTACCATTTATTTCCAAGGTTAGTAAGCTGAGTACACAGACTAAAAAATGGAGGTGAAGACTTTTTAAAGTTCAATTGAATTTCAAATGAAATCAAATGAATAATAATTTATAAACCTTTATAATAAGGGGGAAAGAAATGGCCATTAATATTAATCCCATTATTGAGCGGAAGACATTTTTTGACTTTGTCATTTACAGATAATGATTTTAAAAAAACTATATCAACAACGATGTATGAATGATACACCAACAGTGATATCAGAGATGATATCTAAAGATATAATACTTTGAGAAAATGTTGTTTAGTTTGCACACAGATACTGAAAGGTATATTGCTGTAAGAATATATACCATAAATAAATGGATGAGTAATTAGAAATGAATATTCTAATTGTAGAATCTGTGAAAGCAGCATGTGAAGGCATTTAATAATGTTCCTCATTTATAGTAGTTTTATATTTTAACTTGATGCAGTAAAGGTCAGAGACTTCAAACTTTGACAAAGGTGGTGAGAGGACCCCAGTGATATACTGAAGAGATGCCATCTAGATAGTGTTGTTAATTATATCCCAACAGAAAAACATATAACAGAAATATCAACTGCGTCACATTGCTTTGTAATATACCACTCATGAGTCAATTAATACATTTGCTTGTAATCATACACTATATTTTTACATATGATTTTTAAACTTGTAATTATCATAAGTAAATTTACAGTTTATCTTATCGTTATATTGGTTTATTCTTCTCTTTAAGAGCCAATTTCTCATCAGATCTCTGCATTCCTTTCCAAAAATTGATTATCAACCGTTAATATCTTATTTATTGTCTTGCAACAAAAATTAAACATACTGACATATACTGTGCATTCAAATTTTCTGTAACGTGTCAATTCTTGTGAAGCAAAAAGCAGAACGTTAATTTGAATATCGGTTTCAGTGTTCTAGACGTGTTCTTTAGGATTTGCATTAGCTTACAAATGTGTTCCAGTTTTGAAAATGAGTTTGAAAAATGATGTACTGTAGTTATATTTTTTTCAGAAAATACTATGCATTAATGCATTATAATTATGTAAGTGTGCAGTATGGTCAAGAGAAGAATGATTATAACATTGGCACATGATTAGGGTAGTAGTATCATGTGATTGAACTAATGAAAATGTTGCATAATACCATAAAGAGATGTCATGTACAATATTAAACTAAACTAATCATGTATGTTACTTGACATGTGACATTAAATCTGAAGTGTAATGTGCACATGACGGTAGATATTGTGCACATTTTTTTTTTTTTTTATTAAAAATACCTTCCCTTTTTGGCCTTTAAACCTACTTGTTCAGTTTCTTTGTATAAATTAGAATTTATTTGAAGCAATGAATAAAATAACAAATAAAAATACAGTGGAAGTTTTGTCGTCGTGTTAAATCTTGCACTTCGGATACAAGTTTTTCTTTTAGTGGTGCATTGACAATCACAAATAAATTTCAGATGTAATAAATACACGAAATGTGGCAGAAGAAGTAAGATAGAGCCTAATGGAATGAATTCTACGAAGATGAAAATAACCAGATTACAGATAGACGAAATGTCATGAGAGAAATCCAAATGGTTGTCAAAAATGACTCCAAGCTTTTGAACAACAACAGAGAAGCTGAGAATATCACCATTGCAGTTAATTTGAATAAAGGCAAATGTATACTTTTTGGCGTATGCGTTCAGTCTTACTAGAGTTAAGTTTAAGTTTCATAAGTCGGGACCACTTTGAAATTGCTGTTAAACTTATATATTATTATTAAATCATTCTTTATTCAGCATATAAAAAATGTACAAACATTCAAGGTCACGTTCTGCGCAAGTAGAACATTGCAGGAAAAATAACAACACAAGTTTACAATACACGAAAACGGCAATCAATATAAAAGATAAGATGAGTTTAAAATCGGCGTTTAAAAAAAAAAGTTTTTAAAATTGAGTAG